ATAGAATAATATATTGATGGCACATATTTAAGTCTCACTGATTATCATCCATTCAAAATGATTTATAACTCCCAATCGTTTAAAATATTTGACCATAAAATGGAGCCATTCAATGTAATTTTTATTGATCAAAACATCCAAATTATGTCCCTTCAATACACCAAGCAAGTAGCAACTGAAACGCTAGTTCTATAGATCTAGCAACACGTACTACTTGAAATCACATGATTTATGCTCTTCATCAAAGCACATTATTTTATTTTATTTTTTTTAAAAAAAATAGGAATAAAAATTCTAAATCCATTATAGTTCTTTTCCCCATCTTTTAAGATTCCAAATGAATTTATTAATAAACTAATGAATTCATTTAATGCCTCGCACATGCGTTTAAATGCCATGAGATATACAAGCATTTTTCCTTAAACAATAATTTATGTTAATACCACAATTTCAAAACATGTGATTGGCTCAAACAAAGATGTCCCAAAGAAGCATAATACTTCAACTTCTTATAGTTGATCATGCTTACAACTTAAATGCTCATTGGGAATTCTAATCATTCTTCGTGCAACAGAATAATTTAGCATCTTTAAATTTCCTTGTTATGCACCACTACAATGAAGACACACATTTATACGACTTGCATTCTTTATTGTATTTCACAATACCTAAATATATCATCCATGATAAATATAGCCATTAGTATCATAGAGATATTCATTTTCCATGAATGTACTAATGCAAATCAATGTCATACATTTTTCATCAAAAGCATGCAATAACTCCCACTAATAATAGCATGCATTAAGTTACATAATCATGCTTTGGGGTTCATAGTCATTTAATAATTCTGAGCAATTTCAATCATAGGAAAGATCATCAAATCAATTAGGGAACATGCTCAACTTTGAAAATTATTATTCACGTTAAACCATTAAAGCCTCTTTAGGTTGTCCAAACCCATATATGCATATTGTAGACAAATCAACCAATTAACATAAATGGCAGATATCATATACCCATATTTATCTATTTTAAGGATATCAAAATATACCTTAGTTGAGGAATTAAAAATCCTCGTTTCTTTACTTTCAATGAGTAATGTATGAGTAGATCTTTTCGCCCAAATATGCTATCTGTCACGTGTGTACAATTTGATCTTCTCCCAATTACCTATATGACAAATGAAACACATCAATTATTTTTGAAAATTCAAAGAAAAATGATGTCCAGATTTCATCGACCATTTTGTCAACATATAAGACCAGACAGAAAACGATCATAAACTTCGAATTCTATTCAGTTTTGTCGATTTCCTTGTCGACCGACGACAAAGTCGACTTCTTTCATTTTGCCCTTCCGTCTGCCTCCGTCGACCAGTTTGCCAACCGATAGTGAAGTCGACAAGATCGAGATGATAAGGAAAAGAAACTTCTCATTCTTCCAGCCATTCTGACTTTAATCACAAATATAACACATCAAAGAAATATGTTTTAAGATTGTTAGAAAAATTGAATGCGATATTTGTGATGAACAATGACTTCTTTAAAAAATAAGAAAATCTGAGGCTCGTGAAAACACGATTTCCTTAAAATATATTTGCCCACTCCTAAGGTGCTAGAGGATCGTGGGCAATTGTTTCCAGGATATAACGGACAAACGTGAAAACTACTTAGTAATAAGTAGTTCCACCGGCGAACTGGAACTTAGAAAATATTTGATGAACACCAAGGAAGAGGAATAAAGACTAAAGCAAAATTTATGAAGAAAATTGGGGTGCTTAGGATTGAACAATGAGCCACTATTTATATCATGAAAAGACCCTTTGAATTCAGTAAAAAAAACCAACGGTTTTATCTTATTAATTCACTTTAATTGTAGCAGAATAATCATGAGTCAAATGTTTAAACTTTTGTAACAATTCAAACGAATTTATTTTGCTCTATTAAATGAATTAATCTCACAAATTCAAAGCTGAAACTATCAGTTTTATTGCAGTAAATTAATTCCCGTACTTAATGAAATATTATATTCATTAATTCCCTAATAACCATTAATAATCAATCCGGTCAAATTCGGATTAAATGAAAACCGTTGGAATTAATTCAAGCAGCAAAAGTCTCTCTATTATTTGACTGAAAAATTAATCTAAGACAGAATTTCTCTATTATTTGACTGGAAAATTAATTTGAGACAAAGCAAATTTGGATTAATCAGGTCCACGAGAGTTCGGTCTGACATTCCGCAAGTTGGGCACATAAATAAGTTAAACTCACTCCGAGCATAAACTTAATTTTTCCAATATAAAAACGATTCTCGTTCAAATATTTCCAACAGGTGGCAATAAATCCAGGCAGCAGACGAAAAACCCTGTTCCACACGACGACGACCCCAACCCAGCGTTGAATTACGCGATGAAGTTCACCGTCGACGAGAATCTGGCCCAGCAGAACCGTTTGACTTTTCAAATCAAGCTTCGCTTTGAAAGGGCTCTGGGGGATAAGGATATCGGTGAAGTCTTTGTTCCGTTTAAGGAACTTCTCGAATCTACCGGCGCCGCCGATGCCAAAGAAGGGAAGATGCAGTTCGTGAGTTATCAAGTTAGGGAGCCCAGTGAGAAACCGAAAGGTCAAATCGATTTCTCGTATAAATTCGGCGAGAAGTTTCTGGTCCGGCGACTTTCAAGGTTGAGCATGAGCCGTTGAGCTGTGATTGCTGATCCATTCGAATACTTTGGCTTGTTAGATTGAAAGGAAAGTAGGGAGATGGGATTGGAGAAAGTCACAAAATAAATTAGTATTATGATTTAAGCCAACATCTTGTGAGTTGTGACAATGATTTTTGTTTTTAGATCTAACACTATTTTCTGATTATTATATTTTGGAATTTCTTTTGCTTGTTTTTGGGGGTGGGGAAGATGGATGCTTGTTTTTGGGGCGGGGAAGATGGAGGTGACGGCGGTGGCTGCAGCGTGAAGAAGGTGGAGGAGGAAGGAGGGAGATGGAGGCGGCGGCGGTGGCTGCAGCGTGGAGAAGGGGAGAGGGAGAACAAAATTGTATGGTTTTCGTTTTTTGAAATTGTTATTGGATTGAGATTGGGCTGGACAAAGCTTGAAGTGGCCTTGATAGATGTCACGCCCCAGCTATTTGTGGAATTTTAATTATTTTTTGGGTTGATCTTATATGCAGTTGACGACGTCGTTTAGTCCCGAAGATTTCTGCAGTTAAGTTACCTACATTATTTACTTCTTTCCTGAATTACTAGCTGTAATCTTTGGTTGTAACCCTTAGGAAATTACATGGAAGTTTCCTCAATCCTCGTATGCATTTATAATCTCGTTGAGGCTGTAAATGATCTTTCATCAAAGGAAATGAATGAATGAAAATCTCCTTTGTCTTGATTCTCCTCTCCCGTTACTCCCTAAATTTTCTCTTCTTATAATTTCTTCTTAATTTCTGCCATTTTTCTTCTACATTTCATTTGTCAAATGTAGGCCCAATATTAAAAGAGGAGTCAATATTTTTCTTGGACGGTCATTACCCTTAATCAATACATATAACTCCAATTTTAACGGAATCTTAACGGAAAAAGTGATTAAAAAAAAAAAAAAACGACATTCATCTTTTAGGGAAGACTTAAGTACGTTTAAACTTTATAATTTAGAATGAATATAGTCGTCAACTTTTTGGGATTTTTGTAGTAATTAATTCTCTATTGTTGTTATACAATTTAATAAATTTGTATAGTAAGTTCTGTAATTTGTATCGAAAATAAGCATCTATAATACACATATCAATGCAATTTATATATCTAAAAAAAAAGATATAAAGTAATTAAATAATGTAAGAAAGTGTAATACGGAAAAGCAACAAGCACCTACAAAATTTGAACATACATTTGAAGGGCGAATCCAACAACGCTAAAGGTGTTTTTTTAGTAATTAAATAATTGGATCGTTTTTTAGTGTGTGTTTGTAAGTGTTTTTTCTATTAAAAATGTAAAAAAATATGATGAGAGGAACAGTCATTATTATATTATTCTGAAAAAAACTATTAAAAAAAAACAAATCAAATAGACCCCCACCTCGGTTTTCCGAAGATGCACAATCGAGCGTGGGTACTGGAAGAATCATCCCGGCATTTGAAATCAGGGAAGAGAAACAAAGTGCGGTAAGCGTATGTAAGGAATATGGGAACTTGTTGTTCTTCCAGGGCCGCGCCAACCAGAATGTTTAATATAGCAATTCTCTATTCTACAAAAATAATTCACATTGTAATTTAAAAATTGTAATATTAATAATAAAAATGATATAACTCCTAAATTACAGTGTGGATGATTGTTCTACGATTGAAAGAGTATTTTCTTAATATTGTTATTATTATTATTTTAATTTTTTGTATCATTGGATGAAATACAAAATTGTCAAACATCCAACCTCTGAATATGAGTCTTGTCAATACCAAAAACTTCCACCGTGGACTGAGGGGCGTCATCATTGACAGGATCCCGGCCAAAGTCGCTGGGTTTCAGCCAAGCACCGAGTTGTGGTGGCTTTGTGGAGGTGGTTGGATTTTTCAATATTTATCATTATTAGTTTTTACTTTTAACCCAAAAAAAAAAAATGAAAAACTCATTTTTGAAACATGTCTTGACTAAAGAGGCAAATTATCTGGTACACCCGGGGGTACCGTGTCCCCCCATGCGCGCGTACCTTACTCTCTTACAATAGCGTTAGTCTGCTATTATAATTCAGCTTTCTTTTTCTTTTTTTTTTAAACGCGAGGTTATATAAATAACCGAATTCATTCAAATTTGAAAAATTTTGTGATAAAGTATTATTGATGGGTGATGGCCAGCCGGCGGCGATGGGAGTCGACGATTGAGGCGTTGAGGTGGACACAGCCGGCGGCGATCGAGTCGTTGAGACGGCGACGCCGTTCAGCGATTGAGGAAAGGCTCCGATTCCACCAGAGTGGCGAAACGGTGATTGGATCGACGATATGCTGAGATCAGATCGAGTGATGTGTTATGTCGTTGATGATTCCGTCTTGATGAATGCGGAATGTGGTGGTAGCAAATCCATCGAACAATCTTACTATGCCAGCAAATCAACACAAGGTCACAGTTCTGTTGTAGATCAGCTGGAATCAGGTTTGTGTAGGTTTCAGAGTGTACTGTAATCAATCAAGTTTTTTCACAGTTCTGTTTTTGTTAATGTTGTATGAAGTGGATAAGCAGTTATTCTGTGTTGGATATCCAAAATGTTTGTACTGGATATCCAACTTGTTTGTGCTGGATATCCAGCTTATGTGTACTGGTTATCCAACTGATTTACATGCGTATCCAAATTTTATTTGCTGGATATCCAACTGATTTGTACTGGATATCCAACATTTTTTAGTTGTTTATATTGAATTGGTGTTTTTTCACAATTTGGAGTGTACTGTTTGTGAGAGAATAATCAATCTAGTTTTTTCACAGTTTTGTTTTTGTTAATGTTGTATGAAGTGGATAATCAGTTATTCTGTGTTGGATATCCAAAATGTTTGCGCTGGATATCCAACTTGTTTGTGCTGGATATCCAGCTTATCTGTACTGGTTATCCAACTGATTTACATGCGTATCCAAATTTTATTTGCTGGATATCCAACTGATTTGTACTGGATATCCAACATTTTTGAGTTGTTTATATTAAATTGGTGTTTTTTCACAGTTTGGAGTGTACTGTTTGTGAGAGAATAATCAATCTAGTTTTTTCACAGTTCTGTTTTTGTTAATGTTGTATGAAGTGGATAATCAGTTACGCTGTGTTGGATATCCAACATGTTTGTACTGAATATCCAAGTTATTTGTGCTGGATATCCAGGTTATGTGTACTGGTTATCCAACGGATTTACTTGCGTATCCAAATTTTATTTGCTGGATATCCAACTGATTTGTACCAGATATCCAACATTTTTGAATTTTTTGTTTTTGTTTGTCTCATTTTTTGTAAAAGATAACCATATCAATCAGTTGGGGGATGATGTGATGCTGGATGATGCTTTACGCATGGAAGTTACATTTGCTCTGAAGGGTAGGTTTTCTAACTTGTTTATGTGTGTTTAAATTTTTTTTTGATTTGTTTATCCATTGTGTTAATACTGATTATCCGACTGCATGGTAATGGTTATCCAACCATCTCTTTTGTTTTTCTCAGAATGTGGAGAAGATAATAGCGGCAATGAATTGGGAGTTGATAATGTGATGGTGGAGGAGGATGCCTTGCACAAGGAAATTTCATCTGTGACGAAGAATAATGATTTGGCTGTTTTTACTTTAGTTGACAAGACTGCAAGAAGTGAGAAAGAAGCTTATGATTTGTATAACGATCATGCCCGATTGATTGGTTTTAGTGTGAGAGTGGGAAAACAGAAGTTTAGAGGTAAGACTGATAAAGTTAGGATAAAGAAATTCTGTTGTAACCGTGAAGGATACAAAAGATCCGGTGAAAATGGTGATGTGTGCCATGAGAGGATTAATTTTTGGTGTGGGTGTCCAGCTTATATCCATTTTACTGTTGACAAAGATGGCTTGTGGACCTGTACAAAACATCTAGTTGATCACAATCATGATCTTGTGCCGAATGAAATGATTGGACTTCTTCGATCTCAACGTGAAGTAGATGAAAATGATATGAAGATAATCAGAGACATGACAAGGAGTGGCATCCCTTTGGTTGATGCATATAAGTTTGTGGCAAAATTTACACGAAGGAAGTCCGAACATGAAGTATACTTTGAGAGATGCCTACAATTATGAGCGTCCTGGTGTTGGATTTGAAGGTGGCGATTGTAATCAGCTCATGAAGATTTTTTGGGACAGGAAGGAAACTGAAGAAGATTTCTTCTTTGATTTTGACTGTGATGAGCAGGGTAGGCTGTGTATTTTCTTCGGGAGGGATGGCCGAATGCGAAAGGATTATGATTTGTTTGGTGACTTGCTTGTGTTTGATACAACGTATCAAACAAATAGATATGGAATGATCTGTGCTCCGTTTGTGGGTATGGATAATCATAACAAGAATGTCATGTTTGGTTGTGGTTTTGTGTTAAACGAGAAAGAACCCTCTTTTGATTGGTTGTTCAAGCAGTTTTTGAAATCAATGGGAGATAAGCAGCCACAAACCATAATAACAGATCAAGCACCTTCCATTGCTACAAGTATTTGGACATGTTTTCCAAGTTCTCGGCGTCGTCTCTGTGTATGGCACATAGGTGAAAATTCAAGAAAGCGAATTGGTCATTTAAGGAACAAGCCAGATTTTGTTAAGAACTTTAACTATCTGATGAAATACACTTCAACAGAAATCGAGTTCGAGGTATTATGGAGGAGGTCAGTTTGTCAATATTTTTATTACTATTTTGATCATTGCCATGATTAAGAGTGTCTCTTATTTTTTTTGTTGTGTGGATATGTGTTAGTGGTCATGCATGATCTTCATGATGATTACTTATAGGTAGGTAAGTTATACAACAATGATTGATAACCAACAAATAATGTATGGACAAGCAGCCGCATAGAAGCACAACTAAAAAAAGGCATGGATAACTAGTTTACAGATTGTGGATAACCACCTGTTATGGCTGGATAACTAGTTTACACATTCTGGATAACCAGCAGTTATGGCTGGATAACTAGTTTACACATTCTGGATAACCACCCGTTATGGCTAGATAACTAGTTTACACATTGTGGATAACTAGCAATTATCTCTGGATAACCACCCGTTATGGCTGGATAACTAGTAGAAATCCTTTGTATAAGCATTAGGAAATTATTGCAGGGGTTTAAAGGGGTTACTGATGGATAGACAGTTCCATGTTTTGGATAATCTGTAAATGATTACTGGATAAGCAGTAGAAAGCGGATATACATGTTGCTTTGTGGATCTATATGGATAATCTAACTATTTTTCTTTTTATGCATGTGTTTTATATTGTTGTGCACAGATTATTGGATGAGTATGATTGTCATGATGACAAATGGCTCAATGGTATTTATGATGTGAGGCATATGTGGTGCCCTGTATTTAGCAAAGATGTTTTTCTGGTGGTACCTTGTCTTCACAGAGGAGCGAGTCAACAAAGAATACAATTTGTCATAAAATGAAGGCCACATCATCACTTTGTGATTTTCATGGAATTTTCTCTGATGTTGTACACTGTTGGCGGGTAGCTGTGAGGGGTGAAGATCTACGTTGTAGCCAGGGAAACATCGATTCATATCTTCCTGGTGACCTTTTCCTGGAGAGCATTCGCAGAGTGTACACAGTTGAAGCATTTCGGGAGGTTCAGCAGTTGCACAAAGATGGGATGTTGTGCAGGCAGGAGCAGTTAGAGGTCTCAAATGATGGCAATATTGTGATGTACAATATTTGGCGGTTTGGGATAGAGCACTTTAAGCATGTGATTATACATGACACTAGGTTATAGAGATTGTCATGCACGTGCAGGTACTACTCTGAGGCGGGCATGCTTTGTTGCCACATTCTTCGAATCTGTCATGTAACTTCTGTTGATGAGTTTCCTAAAGATTATATATGTATGAGATGGACAAAAGGTTATGGTGCCAGGTCAAGCATAGCTAATGAGGGAGATGAAAAAGCTGCTGGGCCATTGCTGTGGAAGGCACTAATTATGAGATGATTTTCAGACTTGGTGTATGCAAGTGAATATAACAAAGATGCAAAGAAATGTTGTGACGAGGCGGTTGACAGGCTTAAAGAAGAACTCGGGAGTTTCATTGGTTCAAATAATAATGATGAGTCTGTAGACAATGATGGTGTCAGAAAGAATCCGGCTGTAAAGAAGAAGAAGTTTGGTCCCAGGAACGAACGTCCTAAAAGCATTGTTGAGAAGGCATGTATGTAACAAAGTCAGAGGCAGGAAAACAAATGCAAGAATTGCTGCTGACCGAACAAGAGCTTCAGTTGCATCAGACCTGCATTATCCAAGCATGCCATTTCCTTATCCAAAGGGAGCTGCTCAAGATTTTTCAAGCTCAGGAAATTTTGCTGCTGTGAATGCTTCCCATCAAAGCATGCCATCTTTGAACGTAAATTCTAGTGGATTCTCATTTACTAATCCAAGTGTAGCTGCCCAGGATTTTTCAGGAGCAGGGGCTTCCACTTCTGTGAATGCTTATGATCAAAGCATGCCATTCATCAACCAAAATTCCGGTGGATTCTCATTTCCAATTCCCAAGGGAGCTGACCAGGAGTTTCAAGGCGCAAGCACTTCCGTTGCTATGAATGCTTCTCATCAAAACATGACATTCATGAATCAAAACTTTGGTGGGTTCTCATTTCCTAACCGAAGGGAAGCTGCCAGGGAGGCTGGAGCGCAGCGTTTCTTCAACAAGATGTTTTATTAGTATTTTTACTTGATGTTAAAATGAACAGTATTGATGGTGTAAAGATTTTTATTTAAAAAGTATTATTTATTTTAAATTACAGTATTATACAACCAGTTTGAACTGGTTATCCATTTTGTTTGTACTGGTTATCCAAGTGGTTATTTTAAATTGGTTATCCGTTGTGTTCATGATGATTATCCAACCAGTTTGAACTGGTTATCTATGTTGTTTGTACTGGATATCCACCCATTTGGTTTGTATGCCTATCGAACTTGTTTGTACTGGATATCCATTTCGTTTGTACTGGATATCCATTTCGTTTGTATTGGATATCCAACTCGTCTATACTGGATATCCGAATCGCCTGTACCAGATATGCAACTTTAAATGCATATAGATATTACAAAAAAGACATGAACACGTTGAACACGCTTTCTTCGAAAATAATATCATTGGATGACCAGCATAGCTAATCTGGATAATTAGTACAAAGTCCTGGGATAACCAGTAATAAGTTAACAAGGGAAAGATAAATTTTTTTTTAAAAAAAGAAAATCCTAAAAGTGTGTTAATGTCTCCCAAAAGTAACATGTTGTAATGATGTAACTGGTTTCTAGATCCGGCGATGTACTTGAGTATGTGATTTTCCTGGTAGGAGCACTATACAACAGCAAATGTCGATTATCGTATCCTTTGACAATGAACTGTCCTGCTGGAGATGATTTGTGGCTTAGAAACACTGAATAAAGCCAATCATGACGGAAATGTAATCCGTGTGGAACGTGTGTGTTCACATTTGGTAATTCATGGGTCTCAAACATGCAATCCCATGTGGAAGTATTTGGATCCCATGCCCACATCTGTCAGTGATGATTCTAAGTAATGTGGTACTCATCTATTACACACAAAGTCCCCTGGAAGTCCAATATTTTCACATGGAGATTCATATGAGAAGGATCAGTGGGGTTAAAGAAGATTGGAGATGGAGGGCAGTTTATGGTTTGGAATTGTTGAGTGTGGTAGTCAAACACGACCATCAACTCTTGAGGTGTTGCTATTTCAGAGGATAGTTTGTCTACACGCCAGTACACGAATCTATCAAACTAGGTTCCATCAGATACAAGGCGAGGACATACATTGAAAAGTGTTTTCCATTCCCCTATATGAATACTTGAACAACTTTGAAAAGAAAAAATGCAGCCTTGGATGTTTTTTCCATCTGCAATAAGGGTCATGAAAACGTAAGTTTTTGAGGATGATACGTACCCAAATGCTGTTTCACAATTGCTGAGAGGGACATCATATGGCCATTCAATTGATGCAAGTTGTGTTGTCTTTGGGTTCAAGAATTTGATTTGAGACCTGGTTTGCAGACAGACCAAATCTGTGGTGATAGGCATGATTTTATGGATGCCGTCGTCACCCATCGACATCTCTTCTTGCAATGTTTGAGTGAAAACAAGGATGTTGTTTTCAGTTGCTGGGTAGCTCATCTCACGTTTTTGAAGAACAAATTCTTGTCTTTTCGTCATTTGCTCCCAAGCTTTGCTGACACGACGGAACTCACCAATCTTTTCCAATGACAGATTAATGAACATATTATCAAACATATCGTGATGGATATATTCAGGGTAGTTGTTCTTTTCTTGCTTTTCTTAGCTGGTGGACATTTGTTTGGTTGTGGAATTTGAGGAAATTTTTTTCGTTTTTCATTTTTTTCTGGCTGTTGGATATTTTAGATGCTCAAATCAGGCGTTCTAGTGTATGTGCAGATGAGGGAGTTTTATAGAAATGCTCTATGTGGAGATGTCAGGGAGTTCTATAGAAATGCTGTATGTGGAGATGAGGTAGTTTATATAGAGGTAGTTTGACGGATTAACTACCCATGCAGTCCTATCTTTTTTCACAAATCAGTGTCTTCTCACTCTCTATTCATTAACCGTCATTGTTATAATCAAGAAACTCATTTAATGACAGTTATGTAACTGATCCTCCTTATTCAATCCATTGCATGTAAAAACGTGTGGCTCTGTAACTACCCATTAGATCATGATGGATGTACTCTGCACAAACATGAGCCTTTTCAGTTTTCTTTTTTATTTTTACTCCCTCAATCTTTTAAATTCTATTTAATTACAAAACGTGTGGCTTTTCAGTTATACACAGTAACATGCTCCACACTGTGGATAACCAGTGTTCCCACTATGGATAACCAGTTAAACACAGCTGGATAACCAGTGTTGACACTATAGACAAGCATTTTTCATAAAGAATAAAAATAAAGTGAATTTTATATCCATAAAAAGGGAGAGAGCAGGTGAATGGTTGAATGGTACGGTACAATATAAAAAGAAAACCTTTTTCCTTTCTCTCTATCCCACACACTCAATTATGATTGAATGACGTTTTCGGGCAGATTCTAAGGGACAATTATGATTGAGCGGCCGCCGTTTGGAAAACGTGCGCACTAATGGGGCAGGTTTGTCAGAATTTGGGCGGGATTCTGAAGCGGGTCGGGTTTGGCCCGCGAGTTAAGTCAGACGGTCTGCCCCTCATTCATTTTTTGTTCTCCATCATTTGGCAAACTTCCCCTCATTCATTTTTAAATACTGTTTATGAAATTTGCCATTTTCGGCATGGGGGCAGCACAGCCGCGAGCACTTGCGCAGCCGGGTCGTTTAGTTTATCACAGGGGGATTTATACAAGTAATTTGTGTCCCCTCTTAACGCAATAACACACTCTCCTTACACACACGAAAAAAAGGATTACCTTAGCTACATTGGCGTGTTCGGCGGGGCGGCGCAGCTGGGGCAGGTTGGTGGCCTGCGATTCCGGTAGCCGCGGGAGTCATTTAGTTTATCATGGATAGCCGTTTGGATAGCCATTTTCTTATGGATATTTTCTTTTGTTATGTCTTTTTGGAAGCCCTCTATGAATCCTTGTTTTGTTATGTCCACATGGTGGATAGACATTGGTTACATATGGATAAGTAGTATTGAGGTTTTGGATAACAAGTATAAACTCATGGATAATCAGGTTAAAGACTGTACTTGCATTTTTTTTTGACTGGATAATCACTATAAAACATTCGGATAATCAGGTGTAACAAGTTGGATAACTAGTACAAAGATCCTGGATAACCATTACAAACGGTTGGATATTGCTGCACATTGGCTAGATAACCAGTACAAAAGTCCCGGATAATCAATACAGAGCATTGGATAATCAGCATAGAAATATTGGATAAGCAAGATAACATCATAGGATAAGCAGTTTAACAAAGAAGTAGAAAGACCAAGAAATTGGGACACTCATTTTTTGTTGTTTGGGAATTTACAGAAATATTTGGACAACCAAAATACATTGGATAATCAACATATACTAGGATGGCCAGTAAAAAGCTGTTGGATATCAAACACTTTAGGATCAACAGTCAATCAATTATACAAAAGAACATAATGACAGTTCATTTAACCCATCCTTGAATTTTTCTGTCATTGTAGTAAGATTTGCTGCTCAAATCAACATGATCTGGAATTTTTTTTTGTTCTTCTTCAGCAGTATTTGTATAGAACTGGTGCATTGCTTCAAGGATTTTGTCCTTATTTTTGTTGGCTGGGTGCATAAGGATTTTTATCATGTATTTCCACCGGTACTCTTTGATGTTTCCTGTGTTGAAATCCAAAGTAGTACCATCCTCGTACTCACCACCATCATACCTCCATGTGGTGCATTGTGTATATTCCACAATCTTCCGCATTCGGCGTTTTGTCCTTATGCGATGGTAGCGTAACCTCTGTGAAGGTGTACTGAGCACTGACCAGTTCTATGTGTGGAAACACGCATTCAACATAGCTTTGGAAGAACCGAAACTGTGATGCCATAAAATCCGAGGATCAGCAAAATGCAATGGATAATTCTTAAACTATAACAATCATTTTGTATCTTTTTTTCACTCACAAGTAGATCTTTTGTTGGTTTGTAATATTTCGGATCTTTTGCATGAAGATTGTTAATGCAAGCACTTTCATTTCTTCAACCAGCAACACATACAGAAAGTAATGCTCTCGGTAGTATACTAGGAAGTAGATCTGATATTTCACATTGAAGGGAGAAATCATATGAAAATTTTTTAACAGCCAGTTTTAGAAAGAGTGAAGGGGGTGAAAGATGTTGCTTACAGCTTTTGCCGCTATCAGGGATGCTACACTGAGGCCTTGTTCTTCCAGTTCAATAGCCAACCTCTCATAAAATGTGAACTCCATTTCCTTTGTTACAGCCATGTTCATAGTAGCGACTGATTTTATCCTTCGTTATTGTTTGAGATGGTTGGAAAATGATACAATGATCAGTACAATGGTTGGAAAATGCAGTAGAAAACAATGATCGGAATCAAGCACATACAAGGTCAACCAAAAGTACCCTAGATGACAAACAAGAAGGAATGGTTAACCAGTTCAGATCTTGTGAATAAGTAGTACAGAACAGATGGATAACCAGCAAATGAATCATGGACAAGCCACCACATAGAAGGCTTGGATAACCAGTTCAACTCTGGTGGACAAGCATTAGTAACAAATTGGATAATAAGTGTTAGTGGTCATGCATGATCTTCCTGATGATTACTTATAGGTAGGTAAGTTATACAACAATGATGGATAACCAGCAAATAATGTATGGACAAGCAGCCGCATAGAAGCACAACTAAAAAAAGGCATGGATAACTAGTTTACACATTGTGGATAACCAGCAATATGGCCGGATAACTAGTTTACAGATTGTGGATAACCACCCATTATGGCTGGATAACTAGTTTACATATTCTGGATAACCACACGTTATGACTGGATAACTAGTAGAAAGCCTTTGGATAAACAACTTGCAGACATGTGACAAGTATTTTACCAAGGTGGGATAAACAATAAGGGTTTCGTTGACTTACAAATGAGGAAACACTAAAGAATATCCGTCTTGGGGAGTCACTCTTAGCTTCTTCTTTGTTTAGGATGACAGCCCAAGCATCTATGATGCTGTTTTCTATCCATGTCCCTTCCCTCATGGAATAGAATGCTGTCATGTCTGCCCAAACGATTTTTCCAAATTCAAACAAGAAATTTCTGCATAGAAAAAGTAGTCAAATAGACAAATAGTTGGAAAACTAGTAAGTTTTTTATCCCAAGGGTAAGGATGGTGACTTTTATCCTGATTTAACTATTTCTTCTTGTCTCTGCAAGAGAGCGAAGTCTATCAACAGGGCTTCTTCTTGGGTCATTTTCTTCTTCTCCTCTGTCCACTGTATTAATTTTTTCTTGTTTTTCTTCTGCAGCATGAATGGCGACCTGAACCGTTCGGGCAACCGGTGGACTCTTGGTGGATTTCTCCTCTTAGGTTTTTCATTGAGGATCCTAGGACAAAACAAAAGAGAGTTAGTATGTAAATTCGTCTTTCTATTTTGTAGTGAGGAGTCACAATGGATCAAACTTACTTTTCCACTGTCTTTGTTAACTCTTCATCAAGCTCATCAGCTTTCTTTGAGATTGCAGGCGGTGGCGTGGTACACTCATTTTTCTCCAGCATCAGTAGACCACCCGTGGTAGAAGAAATATTCCAATCGGGTGGAATTATGCTTAAAGGGACTGCTTCAACCACCTTTGAGTTCTTCTCAACTTGTTCTGCAGCAGCGGCAATCATCTCTAGTTTTTTGGTATCACTTAATGGTTCTGAAGCTGGTGCACTGGCCCTTCTTATGATTTCATCGATGGAAGGAGTGGGATTCTTTGTTTCGTCGAGTGCAGATGGTACTGGATATTCTTCTGCTTCTATAGTCTCATTGATATCTTTATCCAAATCAGCACTTCCTGTGATATCTTCCTCAGTGTTCTTCTCCCAGGTTGTCTTTAACTGTCTTCCTGACTGGAGAAGATACCCAGGTTAAAGTGTGGGATAGTTGGGTCTTTGAATAATTTCCTTTTCCTGGTACCAGTGCTTCTCGACCTTTTGGTATAGGTGGATGTCACATCTGAATCCCGGCTGGTGGAATCTTGATGGGACCTCTTCTTTTCTGTTGTGGAGATATTCTTTCCATGTGCTGCAGTACAAAGTTGGAATGTTGGATAATCAGTACGAACATACATATATATTAGACACATTGGATAACCAGTTCAAACGAAGTGGATAATCAGTTCAAACAGGCCGGATAATCGGCAGGAACACAATGGATAATCATTTAAAGGGAAAAAAGGGGTTGGATAAGCAGTACAAATTAGACACATTGGATAACCAGTTCAAACGAAGTGGATAATCAGTTCAAACAGGCTGGATAATCGGCAGAAACACAATGGATAACCATTTAAAGGGAAAAAAGGGGTTGGATAAGCAGTACAAATTAGTTGGATGACAAGTACAATCAAATCAGACAAGTATTTGTTTCATTAAAAAAATATTCATTACCTTGTGGTTGAGTTTGTTGTTCATCAACCACCACTTCTTTTGAAGTAGGCACGGATTTCCACACTGGAAGAGAAGCCTCATCATTTGTCTGGCTCAATTGATCCAGTCCCTGTGCCCCTTGTGGTTGAGTTTGTTGTTCATCAACCACCACTTCTTTTGAAGTAGGCACGGATTTCCCCACTGGAAGAGAAGTCTCATCATTTGTCTAGCTCAATTGCTCCAGTCCTTGTGCTTTGTCAATTTCAATGTCTTGTACATTGTTGTCATCAGTTTGTTGGTGTTGTTGTTGTTGTTGTTGGTCAGCTACTTGTCGTTGCAGTTGTTCTATGATTGTTGCAAATCTGCTTTCAGCGGATTTCCATGCCATCTCGCACAATTCACAAATCTGTGCATCCTGGAGGTCTTGTTGGTCTTGCTGCTGCTCTTGTTCCTGTTGCGTTCTACCTGAAGGCAGAGGCATTTTTCTACTCATCGACACTATTGCATCTGTTAGGATCTTGATTGTTTGCTTTGCTTGTTCATCTGGTTCGATTTTTAACTCCATTTCCTTCTCACGAATGTCTAAAACAGTTTTGCTCATCGTGATAATGAATTGGTAGAATTTTTCATAAAGAGCAGCAAGGTCCTGCAAAAGTGAATGTCGTTAGTGGAATATGGAGATGCTAGGTTGGATACGTAAGTTTGATCTGAAAAAAATGGTAGAACACTACATAGACTTGCTGTGTGTTGGGGTTTCCCTGTGTATCCTCCTGTGATTCCGCCTCTGGTTGTTCATCTCGGGATGCTGCTGAGGACGGTTTCTTGAGACGTTCAAGTGTCTGGACATCTGTGAAATTGCTTCCCTGAAGTCTTATTCTGTCGTCCAGCATCTTTTGATCCCAAGATTTGATCACAGGGAATGACCTCGGATGTGCTCTCTCATACTCACACCTGTTAAGGTAGCACAACTAACAAAAAAAAAAAAAGAAAAAAAGTTGGTGTTAATGATATCAGTACAAACAAATTGGATAAACATTGCAAGCAATATGGATAACTAGTAAAATTTGTACAGATATGGTAAGTACCAGGAAAAAAGTGATTTGTTCGGTAAATGGTTTCCCATCGTGGTGACTTTTGCATCCTTTCACCAGTGGATCAATTACATATTGACACCAATTGTATTGTGTCACTTCATTGATGTTCACGAGGGACTTCAGGATTTTCATTGTGATCCTGGAAGTGGTGTTTCCATGTAGGAATGTGCTCACAATGAAGACCAGGAAATCTCGTTTGAAGTCATGACCAAAATCTTTTCGACCAGCAATTAATTGTGCCGCAGTGGATCTCGTTGGCAGGAATTTATTACTGTATCCCATTCTTTTCTTGAATGCATCCACCATCTCAGCGTGGTCCGTTATAGCGGGATCATTCTGTTTGAATTCTTCCACTGGTTTGGGTCCACGAGGAAGATCAAGTACAGCAACAACATCTTCTTGTTTGATATCCAGTACATTGTTCCCATTCAATGGGACTTGTCTCGCACCAGTCTGGAAATTGTTTGCCAGAAAACTACATAAGGCTGTTGGAATATTTTTGATTTTGAGATCCAGCAAGGCGCCAAATCCCATATCTCTGATAGCTTGCCTTTGTAGTTGGCGATAATCTACCGCATCTGGCTCTTCCTTAAGATCTGTTGGTTTATTGATTTCAGTGATGAGTTGGAAGAGATGGTTTGGTGTTATCCTGGTCTCAAATTTCTTGACAGAATCTTCAGAACTAATTGGCTGTGGATCTTGACTAATCATCAGTTTGTTGTTCTCAGGTTTTGTTCTTTTCTTTTTGGGCTTTTTATCATCGTCATTAGCCGCGTCATTGTCATCAGCAACCACAAGTTGCTTTGGATTTCCTGTCGGTGTGCTCTTCTTTCTCTTTGGTTTCCTCCACAAGTTGTGGGGCCTTGGACTTTGAACAGGAGACTGTTCTTCTTGAGTTGATTTTGATTTTTAAATATGGTCAGTGTTCCTTCAGGGAGCTTCATTATTTTCTCTGGTTCAGGATCCGGTGATATGTCTGGGTTGCAGTTGAGGTCGTGGCTTGCGCTGCTCCACTCGTGCCTATATTTTGTTCTAGCCTCCTTTAGGGCACTGTTGGCATTGGACAATCACTAAGAAGTCAGTGGACAAAATAGCAGGATATGAAAATGAGTAGTAATCAAAAAAGGAGTAACCAGTATGAAATGGGTGGATAACCAGTAAATAATGTATGGACATGTAACCACATAAAAGAACATCTAAAAAAACAATGGATAACCAGTTTACTCACTGCGGATAAGCAAGATAAATGGGTGGATAACCAGAAACAAAGTTTGGACAAGCACCCCATAGCACACACGCAGGAAAACTTGGATAACCAGTTCAGATATATAGTGGATAACCAGTTCAGTTTATCCATGCCACATAGAATCAAATGTAAAAAAAGCATGCATAACCAGTTTACAACTTGTGAATAACCAGTTTACAACTTGTGGATAACCAGTATGAAATGGGTGGATAACTAGCAAATAATGTATGGACATGTAGCCACATAAAAGCACATCTAAAAAAAAATAATGGATAACCAGTTTACACCCTGCGGATAACCAGTATAAAATGAATGGATAACCCGAAACAAAGTTTGGGCAAGCATCCCTAAACCCTAAACCAGTAACCAAAAAACACAAAAACATGGATAACCAGTTCAGTTTGTCCATGCCACATAGAATCTAATGTAAAAAAAAAAAGAATAACCAGTTTACAACTTGTGGATAACCAGTTTACAACTTCAGAATGAAATAGGTGGATAACAAATATGCTATGTGGATAACTAGTATGAAATAGATGGATAACCAGCAATTATGGCATGGGCAACCATCACATAGCTTACGCAGGAAACCATGGATAACTAGTTCAGATCTAGTGGATACACACAAAATATTGCTGGATAATAAAAAAATAGGATCCCGGAGTAATATACTTACCAGTGAAGCATGTATAGATGAAGGAGAGCTTGAGATGGCCGGACATAGGGTTTCTCGCCGTCGTCTGTGCGTGTGTGTGTGTGTTTGTGAAAGAACAAACTAACAAAAGGAAAAAACGCAGGAGAAGATGAAGTTATCAAAATCGTCTTCACGCGTAGGTTTTCCGTCGATTTTGTGTAATTTTGTGGTGGTGGTCAATTTTGTATTTGCCCTAAAATGGAGAGTTTCCGTCGACTGTGTGTTTGTGTGTGTTTATGCGTGAGGATGAAATGGATGAAAACTATTTTCTGTGTGCATTTGATGTAATGGTAAAAACAGTTGAGCGCGTGGTGCGTATGTGTTTGGTGGGGGGTATACGGTACACCCGGGTGCACTGGATACGGACTCACTGAAGACACAAAAATCATTTTGAGTTACTCTTTGGGTATGACTCTGGTTCTCACCATCATTTGCTTTATGTCAAAAATTTATCTTTGTAAAAAGTGAAGATAAGTAAGAAAATACCCCAAGTTAATGAGCAAAAAATAGGATGAGTTTCAATTAATGAATAGAATGAAAAGTACATACATAAAAAAATAAAAAATAAAAAAAAGAAAAGAAATATTAGACTCTGGATGTTCCAAGCTTCCGGTCGAAGAGGCGCTTCAGGAGGAAAACTTGAAGAACACTGGCCCCGATTAGTGCAGCAGATTCAAACAATGCCTTGTGGATTGCTCTTTTGCTCATATTCTCATTCACTGCAATTGAACAAAGCATAACACAATTTCCAAAATTAATTTTCGACGTTTCTTCTTCCTACTTGTCTCGATCCTAAAGATAAGCTCAAGGAGAGAAGGAAAACTTTCATATGAAGTGAAAGGTCCCGTTGGGTCTTTTATCCAACAACTGCCACTTTTATGTATTACAAAGATGCATGTTTCCTTCTGTTTCTCTCTGAAATTTTATAGGGGGAAAATTCTATCGGAACATTTCATAAATGCAAAACAGAACCCTAAACCCTAAACCCTAAACCACACCCATCTGATTGTCTGACTGGGTAGATACAACATTAACAGAGGCGAAGACAAATGGAAATTCCTCAGCAAATGTGTAATGCTGATTAGAAACTACCACATGATATCCCTATTTACTGTTTTTAACTTCCTCAGGATATTCTCATTTTAGTTTCTTTTTTGTTTGTCTACTGACTGAAATGTAGAAGGAGAAAGATTCCGCTTTTACGATGATTTCATCATATAAAATGAGCAGCATAGAGGTGCAAATATAGAAAATCAGGAAACGGGTAATCAGCAGAAGTTTACCTAATGCCTGACGATCAGTCTGTGCCTCAAGCCAATGTTGTTCGAACTGTATATTGTACAAAGCTTCCTCCAGCTTTGAGATTTGCTCAAGCAAAGGATTGAAATGCTCTGGATGAAACAGTACAGAACATCATTATTCATGGCACATAAAGTATATAAATGAAATGCAGATAAAAACAGATGTAAATGTGAGATCGATTGAGTACCATCCTTTGCATGCTGATCGTAATATGAAAAATGGCCAACATGCACATCAAAATCTATGGTTTCGTGATACGGTGACTTGTTTGTAAAGCAAAAGCGATAAAGGCCTTTTCTTTGAGCCGTGAACTCAAACTTCTCACTGGTCTTGTCAAGGAAATCTTGAATTTGTTCGCCAATTGGACCCTTAATCTGATACAGAAAATTAAATGTACTGACCCTGTTTTCTTGAACAAAGAAATCTTCAAAAACCATGTGAAATCATTCTTGTACTCAAAACAACTCCACAAACTTGGACAGAAATTTCAAACGGAGACCCTGTTTCTTTTATGACTGTATCTTGAAAAACCATGCAAAACTATTCCTATAGTACAATAATTCCACAACCGGACATATCAGATTCTCCTCTAATGGAGACCCTAAAAAGAGTAAGAAATCCAGTGAAAAACCTCCTTATTACTTGAGTATAACTAAATTAATCATTAGAACAGTAAATGCATTACTTTTAACAATTGACTGAATCATAGAAACCATTTGAAAGTATATGATATGAACATGGACACTGTTAACAGCTCCATTACGCAATGAATATTCCTCTTCCCTATAATCCTTTAAACATGACACAAACATCCTATCATCTGAATATAATTTACCACTAAATCGAGTGAAATTTATATGAGAAAATGTTAATTTCAAAATTAACTACATTCTAAAAAAAAAGCCGAGTAAAATCGCCAGAATCTGTTACATCACCCAAAAAAACCATGATTCGGCACTTCAAATGATCCTCAGTCAAAAATCCCGGAGAGTTATGCAATCTCAAAACTAATAATATTACAAACCACTACAATCCAATCCATATATAACGATTTAAATCATCAAAGTTGGAGAGGAATCCAAATATTTCTTTCAGCAATAAGCTGATCAAGTTCTGAAAACCCAATTACATGAATAATAATAAAAATAAACGAAGAGGGAAAAATAAATTTACCACAAAATCAACACCTTCTTCGCCATATTGCCAAGGGGAATCAGCTTTGATCACAACAAAAGAAACATGAACTGTATCTCCATCGTATTCAACATTATGTGTTAAACATTCCTCTCTATCTATCACAAATCTGATCCCATAAGCTCCCTTCTGCAGAGCCATTAAAACTACCATCACCATCAGCCTTGTGCGGCTTTTCAACGACCCAATTCCCATCTGAACAAGCAAGAAACAGTTCAATACATTGAAAAAGGAAAAAGGAAAAAAAAAAATCCAAATCCATGGTGTTTTTCTCTCCATAAATATAAAAAAGAAAAAGAAAACAAATAAGAGAGTCAGAAGAATTACTGTCGGATTCTGAGGGATTTAAGAGATTCTGCAAGACGGTTCGTTCTTGATTTCATAAAAGTGATTTGCTTTCGAGGATATCAAAGAATATCGTTGAGTCAGTCTTCTTAGTTCTAACTGTTTTTTCTCCTAATCGGATTTTCAGAACTACTACTATTACCAATTATAATAATATAGAGCAACTAGTTACACCTTGCAGATGGTAAACAGCCAAAAAAGATTTAAAAAAATATATTTCAAATCTTTTATTTTTGATATTTCTCTTAATTTTTAGCCATTATTAACCATATCATTTTTTTTATTCCATTCAATCCAAAAACGTCTCAAACTAAAAAATCTAAAAACTCAAATTTCATCTCCGTAGCGATTTGGCATCAAAACTTCTCGTCGGAGGTATTTTTGAAAACGGAATCTGGTTGTGCATCAAATCCCGTGAGGTTTTTTACAATATAAGTTGCTCAATATGAGAATTAAGATAATATATGATTTTATTCATCGATTTTGCTTGTTTCTTTAATGTATGAAGGTCTAATAATGATATTTTTTGAAATATTCATGAGGAGGGATATCACCAAAAGAGCTAAATCGAAAATTAAAGTCCTGGGTATCCACCGGTTGGTGAAGATTGTTTTTTATTATTGTGATAGTGGAGATTGGACTGTTGTTACAGTCCCGTGATTTTTTCCGATTTGGATTTTTTACGTAAACCTATGTGCCTACTTTACTTAATCAGTTCTTGAATTATTTTGCTTGTTAGGTTGGTTTGGTTGGTTGTTATATTTTATTGATAGTAGGAAATGAGTTTTTCTTGGGGTTCGCTTCTATAGTGTTGAGTTTTTGCCCTTTTCCCCCACAATAGTGGCATCAGAGCTACGGTTTGCTAGTTGAGGTGTTACACCAATAAAATAGAAGAGTCATCGGATGCTACTACGATGATTAAATTGACTTCATCCAATTATCATATGTGGAAGCCTAGAATGGAAGACTTGTTGTATTGCAAAGATTTGTTTGATCCTGTTCTAGGGGATGAAGGTAGGCCAAGTGATATGATTGATAAAACGTGGGCTGATATGCACAGGAAGACTGTTAGTAATATTCGATAGTGGATAGTGTATTTCATCACTTTTCGGGAGAAACAAAAGATGATGAACTTTGGGAGAAAATTCATAATATGTACTAGAAGAAGTCCGGCATCAATAAATCATCTGCTCTGAAACAAATTACCTAGTTGATGTACAAAGATGGTGCTAGCATGAATGAGCAGTTGAGTTCGTTTCAGGGTTTGTTGAACCAAGCAGTAAATGTAGGTTTAAAATTGGATGATAAGGTGCAAGCTTTGTTATTGTTCAGATCTCTTCCAGACAGTTGGGACACTTTGGTAGTATCAATCAGTAATTCTACCCAGGATGGTGTCTTGACCTTGGATCAGGTCAAAGAGGCTTTGATGAATGAAGAAGTCAGAAGAAAAGAGCATAGTATTGAATCTGAGTCGCAGGCTCTAGTGGCAGAAATGTCAAACAGAAGAGGGAGAAGTAAAAGTAAAGGGCCACGTGATCTGAATGACAAATTCAGGGGATAGTCTAAATCCAAGAGAGATATTGTGTGCTATCATTGTCAAGAGAAAGGGTGCTTTAAGAAGGAGTGCAAAGTTATCAAGAGAGAAATAGCAACGAGAAAAGGTAAAGGCAAGAAAGATTAATCAAGTGATGATGACACTATTGAAGTACTAACTACCAGTGATATATTTGTGTACTATGATGATGATACAATTAATGTCGCGAGTCACGACAGTGATTAGTTCGGTGATTCGGGTACGTCTTATCATGTGACGCCTCACAGACACTTCTTTACTTCTTACACACCTAGGGATTTTGGTCGTGTAAGAATGGGCAACCAAGCCTCATGCGATGTTGCCGGCATGGGAGAGGTATCATTGGTAACGAATAAAGGTTGTACGCTTGTCTTAAAAAATGTTGGACATGTTTCGGATATGCGTCTGAACCTTATTTACGTTGGAAAACTTGATGATGAGGGTTATCATAGCATTGAAACTGGTGGCCGTTGGACAATTACTAGAGGGAATCTTGTTTTTGTTAGAGGAAAGAAGTTGAACTCTTTGTATGTCTTGAATGCAAAGTTGAAGAATGGAGAGGTGAATACAATTCACAATGCTTCCATTGATCTCTGGCATAGAAGGCTTGGACACATAAGTGTCAAGGGCTTGCAGATTCTTGGTAAGAAGCAATTTCTTCCCAAGGTGAAATGTACTGCTCTAGAACCTTGTATTGACTGTATCTACGGTAAACAACATACGGTTTTCTTTCAAAATTCTCCTCCATCTAGAAAGTCCAGTACTCTAGAGTTAGTTCATACAGATGTATGTTACATAAAACATAGGTCATTGGGTGGTGCATTGTACTTTGTTACTTTAATTGATGACTATGCTTGAAAGGTTTGATGTTTTTGTTTAAAATCTAAAGATCAGGTATTAGATGTGTTTAAAGACTTTCACCTTAGAGTTGAAAGAGAGACTAACAAGAAGTTGAAGTGTGTTCGAGCAGATAATGGTGGTGAGTACATGGGTCCGTTTGAGAAGTATTGCCAAGACCATGGCATTAAACTTTTGAAGAGTGTTCCGAAGACTCCCCAGCAGAATGGTGTGGCAGAAAGAATGAACAGAACTATTACTGAAAAGGTTAGGTGTGTGCTCTCGAGTGCAAAGCTGCCTAAATCTTTTCGGGGTGAAGCCATGCAGACAACAATTGATTTGATCAACCTATTTCCCTCAGTTTTGTTGGATGGTGATCTACCACAGCAAGTTTGGATAGGGAAATATGTCTCAATTGGGCATTTGCGAGTTTTTAGTTGTCGTACCTTTGTCATATTCCCAAAGATGAAAGGTTAATGCTTGATGACAAATCCAAGTAGTGTGTATTCTTGGGGTATGACAATGATGATTTTGGGTACAGACTTTGGGATCCTGTAGAGAAAGTTTTCAGAAGCGGAGATATGATCTTCTTTGAAGACCGAAACATTGATGATATGGAAAAGGGCGAGATGCCAAAATCTTCACCTGAAATTCATGTTGATCTAGATCCAATATCTCCACATTCAGATGACTCTCCTGAAGGGGGAGCTGAGACAGAGTAGGATGGTGAGTTTGTTAATGATCCTGCTACTGAGATAGAGACACCTCCAGTTTCATCACCTCCTATTCAGCCTAGAGGTCCACCAGAGACAAGAGACCTTCCACCAGGTACAGTGATGCTCATGAGTATTTGTTGGTTACTCATGGGGGAGAACTAGAGTCATATGAAGAGGTTGTTAGTCATGAGCAGAAAGATCAGTGGTTAGCAGCCATGCAAGAAGAGATCAAATCCTTGCATGAGAATAATACTTATGACCTGGTGAAGCTGCCTAAGGGAAATAGAGCACTCAAGAATAAATCAGACTAAAAACAAGTGAGAAGAGCTCACAGCCGAGGTACAAAGCCAGATTGGTTGTAAAGGGATTCAATTAGAGAAAGGGCATAGACTTTGATGAGATATTCTCTCCTGTTGTAAAGATGTCTTTGATCCAAGTTGTGCTTGGGATAGCGGCCAGCTTGAATCTTGAAATTGAACAGCTTGATGTGAATACAACCTTCTTACATGGTGATTTGGAAGAAGATATTTACATGCAGCAACCAGATGGGTTCCAGGAGAAGGGGAAAGAGAAGCTAGTATATCGTCTCAACAAAAGCTTATAGGGGTTGAAGCAAGCTCCGAGGCTGTGGCACAAGAAGTTTGATGCCTTTATGACAGGGCAGGGATACCAAAGGACTACAGCTAATCACTGTGTTTTTGAAGAAATTCTCTGATGGTGATTTTATAATTCTCTTGCTTATGCCGATGACATGTTGATTGTTGGTCATGATACTACAAAGATTGCCAGATTAAAGAAGGAGTTGAATAAGTCCTTTGTGATAAAGGATTTGGGTCCGGCTAGACAGATCCTTGGGATGAAGATTTCTCGTGACAGACAAAAAGGAAAACTTTGGGTATCTCAAGAGAAGTATATCGAGAAGGTTCTTGATAGGTTTAACATGAGCGGTGCTAAGGAAGTCTCGACTCCACTTGTGGGGCATTTTAAGCTAAGCAGAACGCAGTGTCCTAAAAGTGAGAAAGATAAGAAAGAGATGAAAAAGGTTCCTTATGCTTCGGCAGTTGGCAGCCTGATGTATGCAATGGTTTGCACAAGGCTAGACAAAGCTCATGCAGTTGGTGTTGTTAGATGGTTTCTCTCCAATCCTAGTAAGGAGCATTGAAATGCTGTGAAGTGAATTATCAGGTATCTTAGGGGTTCTTCAAGATTGAGCCTTTGTCTTGGCAATAGGAAGACCATATCAGATGGATATACAGATGCTGACATGGTGGGTGACCTTGATGGTCGGAAGTCTACTTCTGGATACTTGATGACTTATGGAGGCGGAGTAGTTTCATGACAGAGTAGGTTATAGAAGTTTGTTGCTTTGCCTACTACAGAGGTGGCAGAGTTTATTGCAGCTACTAAATCTTGTAAGGAACACTTTGGTTGTGCAAGTTTCTACAAGAGCTTGGAATGAAGCAAGAGAGGTATGTGGTTTACTGTGATAGTCAGAGTGCTATTCACTTAGCAAAAAATTCCACATTTCATTCACCGTCGAAACATATTGATGTGAGGTATCATTTGATTGGGGATGTGTTGGAGTCCAAAACGTTGTTTCTTAAGAAGATCTATACAGATGACTACGATGTCGACATGTTGACAAAGACTGTAAGTAGAAACAAGCTCCTAATTCAGACAGGAAGCAGGTTTGGTTTTATCCTGTAGTTGAGGTGAAGGGGAAGATTGTTGTGCTGGTTTGTTTTTCCCTCAATTGGGCCAGCAACAACAAAAAGGAAATAAAACAAAATAATAAAATAAGAAAACCAAGTCCAATTTGGTTTTGTCTTTGGGGTTTGGCCATCGACTATATAATCCCATGGTCCTTGGTGGTTTGTGGCCGTGAGTTCAGCCAAAGAAAAGGCATACGCACACCTTCTTGTGCAAGAGTAAAAATTCAGCCGTGCATAGGTTTTGTGCGGGAGAGAAGAAGAGAGAAAACTAAGGTTCCGGAGTTTTGGAGTTGCGAGAAGAAAGTATTTCACTTAAGACTTTGATTGAGTGACGAAATAGAGCCAGTTATAGGTGAAAGATTGCATGTGTGTTCTTCTCAACAAGATCTCCAATTCTTCCGACTTAGTTTCGGTTTAGCTCTTTTGGTGAGATCCTTCCAATCCCACTTTGTGTGATTAGTGTATGTTTGGAAGAGTATTGTTATAATTCATCTTTTAGTGAAATTCTGTGTATCCACTGGTTGGTGAAAACTGTTTCCCATTATTGTGATAGTAGAGATTTGACTGTTGTTACAGTCTTGTGAATTTTTCCGATTTGGATTTTTCACGAAAATCTGTATGCCTATTTTACTTGATCAGTTCTTGAATTTTTTTGCTTGTTTGGTTGGCTTAGTTGGTTGTCCTATTTTATTGGTTATTGGTAGTAGGAAAGGAGTTTTTTTTTGGGGATTCACTTCTTTAGTGTGTTTAGATTATGCCCTTCTTCTATCTACAATATTTATATTATTCTTTCTATCATAAAAATGATTGTTTTATTTAGATTTTAGGTTTTAGAACTATTATCAATCACAGGACAACTTGACATCTTCCAGGATAATATGAGAATCGATCCTGCATTCAAAACTTCAAACATTATGATGAATTATGAATAAATGGGAAAAAATGAACGAAAAAAAAAATTGCTAGTTAAAAAACAAAAGGGTGAGGGTGGTGTTGGGGATATAGAAAATATTATCGACTTAATCATTTCTTATCTCTTTCTAAAACTTGATTCGGGGTAATGGTTCGTTTTGATTGAACTTTTACTGCATCAAATACGTAATTTAAATCTCAAATGCGTAATTTTTTAATTAGACTTTTACTTCCTTTCTCCCAAAAAAATATTTTTTAATTAGACTTTTACGTCCAACAAACAAAACACTGGCATTTGTTTTTTTTTTCTCGATTATCTCTTAAAATAAGAATCTCTTAATTCCCTCCTCTGTTGTCATATAATTTTGTCTCGGAAATAAAATTATAAAAAAAAGGAAAGAGGTCACTAATAATTCTGTTGGACCAACTATTCTAATTTTTTTGTTGGACTTACAAGTTACTAACCTGAAAAAGTTCAACGGGTTCGTTCGGTTTGGATATTGGGACGTCAATATCGATCATAAGCAAACAAAGGAATTTCAACTATCTATTAATCATATGCTTGCTAAATTCAGTGAATATAATATAGGGTAACCAACTAAGATACAGGAATATTTTTAGTTGCTAAATGATATAATTTAATCAAGTCTTAGTCAGGCGAGTCACAACTCTAAGAAAAGAAATGTAAAAGAATCCCCTAAGTTAGGCAGTCGATGGTCAAGTCACAACTCACAGCACACACTTATTTAGACTAATAATAGTCTTAAAAAATTATTCCTTTGTTAAAAAAAATTAAATCTATTATTTTGTTCTAATTCAACAAATTGGATTAATCATCAATTAATATTTTTGAACAGTGTATCTCAAAAAATGAAAATATGCATATCGAATGGAGATTAGTCTAAATGGGACTCAAATCTTCTTTAACACTCATGTGTTACATTCAATGCGACGTTAATTAAAAAATTGATTAGTGTTGCGTTGATATGAACATCCTTAGTAAACCCATTTAGTTAAGTAATTAGATACATATCAATTGCTTGGATAATGTTATAAATAATGTACTCCCTCCGTCCCATAATTATTGTCCAATTTGAGTTTTCATTTTTGGTTCAAATTATACTAAAAGTGAAATCTTAAACTGGACAATAATTTTAAGACAGAGGAAGTAATACAAAAACTGTCACAAAAACTTTTTACTGTCTAAATAAGAAGTGTCACATGTTTAAATATCGTTGAAACTTATCATGTACCCATAGAATAAATAGGAGTACTCCTAGTAGTTGGATAAAAGATAGTAATTAATGTAGTGAAAATATGCCAATAATGTTTTGCTCTTTCTATAAATGTACTAGCAAATACAATCTCAATTTTTTTTTTTAATCTGTCACATTAGAGTATACACAAGAGAGATAAAGGTAAAATTAAAAAAAAAAGTATTTAATACATAATACTGGAGATGAAGTGTGACAGATTAACAAAATATTAGATCTAATACAACGTAGAGAAAAACAGAGGTAGTATTGCAATAATGTTTGGTTAGTTAACTGGTTTCACTTTCAACTCGCCAGATAAGGATGTCTTATTTTTCTCTGAAAAAAAAAAAGAAAAATAAAAACCCTAAAATGGAAAGACCGGCTGGATAGAAAAACTCGTAAGATATTCAATATAATAGCCTTGTTTTTCATTCATCCAATTCAACGTTTGGGTTTTCTTCATAGTTTTCTCCTCCTTGGTCTTTTTCTTCTTCTTTTGTTTGAAACAGGAAATGGATCGTGGTAGTATCAAACAGTTGTCAACGAACTCTGTTTTTTATGAACTTAGTCCACTACTTTCCAATTCTACCACATGTAACAACCGAGTTAAGGAAGAGGAGTATGATCAAGAAACCAAGTTATCATCATCGCCGTTTGTTCTGAATTTCAACTCCCCAGCTGCTGGATTAATGATGAGTTTTTCTCAAAAAGGCTCATCATCATCCACAACAACATATGATGATCAGGGTCTGGAAAACCATGTGTTGAAGTGTACTACCTCTTCTCTTCAAAGAGCCAAAAGAAGTAGTCAACCTCATGATGATTATCACATCATTGCTGAGAGGAAGAGAAGACAAAAGCTCAACGAAAGGTTCATTGCTATATCTACTCTGCTGCCTGGCCTAAAAAAGGTAACCACATTTCTGCATGATTATTTTAATATTGAGTACTCCTTCTGTCCCAAAATTATTATCAAAGTTTGAGATTTCACTTTTATTACAATTTGAACTAAAAATGAAAATCTAAACTGGATAATAATTTTAGGACGAAGGGAGTTTTTCTTTCATCCCATAAAAGTAATCACTATTGTAAAGTAAATCCGGCAGCAAATTCAAGTTGTTATGTACTAGGATAAACTTATTAGTAGGCCAAGTGGTAAATTTTTGTTGCGGCGACTGAGAGTGACTCTAACCATTATATTAAAATTTGTACTAAATCTGGTGCAAATTTGTAATATGATTTTTCTTTTTTCTTTTCTGAATTCATTCTAAGATGGTTGAATCATGATTAATCGTGCAATCAAGAACTTTCTACTTAAATTCTTTATTGCATGTTAGTAACATGTAATGTTACCACATTGGTCAGATGGACAAGGCTACTGTTCTGGGAGATGCTATAAATTATGTAAGAGAACTGCAATCCAAAGTAACCATCCTTGAGGAAGAAGTAATTAGGAAGAAATTGTCCAATGGAAAAGTTGGATTATCGGTGAAGAAGAATATAATCATTTGTGATGATGAGGATGGCGATGACAATTTCCCAGAAATAGAAGCCAAAATTTGCAAAAAAGATGTCCTCATAAGGGTTCAATGTGAAAAGACGAAAGGACTAATGGTGGAAACTGTGGTGGCTGAAATTGAAAAACTCCATCTTTCTGTCATGAACAGCTGGGCAGTAACTTTCGGAGATTCAATTCTTGACATTACAGTCCTAGCAAAGGTATTACAGAAAAACACACACACACACACACACACTCACACAGTCACACGGCGCTCCTTTTTCTTCTTCTTCTTTTTTTTTTTTTTTTAAAAAAACTAAACTCACACTATTTTATAAACAGAGTCATATTTTTAAATATGTCAGTTCTCAATGTTCGCAAAACATGTCAAATTGATTAAATTTTTTATTTTAGTTTTTGAAAAGATACCTGTAAATTTTATTAATTAGAGATATCTGAACTATTACATTGTATTTTATTAATGTTAAATTATGTAATTCACAAACATCTTACCTACTAACTTTAATGAGGGAGTTTCTTTTCAGAACCCATATAATGCTGAAAAACTATTTCTTTCTGATTATTTTTATGCCAGATGGAGGAGGAATTCACCTGGACAATCAAGGATCTTATGATGCATTTACGGAGCTCCCTCACAAAGTTCATGTGAGAGATGGATTCTTTCTTACCCCAACCTTAAGATTGTCTTTATATTTTATTGTTTTAACCATATTCTGTACCTTTTTTTTATTTTTTTATTTTTTTCTATATTGCAGGGTGTCTACCGTCGAAAATAGTGATTAATTTTCATCGCTCATAATAGACACTTCGGTAGATAAAAAAGTTATTCAAAACATTTAAAATTGCACTATATCCATGGCGAAATTCGAACCCTCAATTATAGTTGAGGGTAGTTTTAATTTCTGTTGATTATTAATCTGCATGTTGAACTTCTCTCATTCACTGTGTGTTGTTATACTTATGACAACATCACTAATGTGGCTTTGTGGTTTTTTGTTCTTTTCCATCTTTTTTTCCCTTCATTTTGAGGAAATGTATTTGGCTTTGTGGCTTTCTTTTTCTTTTCCTTTTTTTCCCTTCATTTTGAGGAAATGTATAACAGGATTGCTTTATTACCGCATTAGTACTCCAGTGACAGACAAGATGCGAACTCTCAACATCGTACAAACAATGTTTGATCCAAGGATTTTGAGATAGTAGTTTTGAAAGGCAATTTGATGTTTTCGAGGTCTGCTTTGACATAAATATTCTTCTTTCTTTTTTTTTTTTTTTTTTGGTATAAAGAAGGAAGCTACAACCTGAAAATATTCTTCTTTCTTGAGGTTTCTATATGATACATTGAACATATATTTTCAGCCAAGAAAGAGTATAACCATGTGCATAGTTGCTTTGTATCAATTAAATCCAAGGAATTTATACTAAAATTCTCCTCGAATGGGATTAATCAATGATTAATAATTACTGTACGCAACGGAAAACTTAACCATGCAGGATTGGAGGATCATCAAAATAAGTACTTAAATAGAATAACCCGCAAACACCTTCAACAATGAAATCATATCACCCCAATTTTAGCAACAGATCCAGACAGCAATAACAGAGGTTTTCTCGGTAAAATGTAGCAAAAATGACAACTAAAAATGTATAACCAAAAAAAAAAAAAAAAATGATGCTCGACTTGACTTGTGAACCTCATACGAAACGAGATAGGCAAAAGAGAACCAGGATGATGATGATGCTTAAAATTTAATACTTAACAAGAAATCAAATGTAAGGATAAACTAGGTTATTTTCCGAAACTAAAGCTCATAGTAGATGTAAATCACAATAGAAACAAAATCCAGCATGACTTATCACAGCTTTGACTGGAGCTCCAGTCTTCTGGAATTGTGGAGGCGGCCAAGGCTTCCATTGAAAACTTCTTTTTGCCACAGTAAGATTTGCAGCCAGAGCAACATCAATCTGTGGCACCGGACTGCACACAACAAAGCCACCTTTTCTGCAGAACAAATGGTACAGTTCAATTACAATTATATCAAACAAAGCAGAAGTAAAAAGTAGACATTATCAAATTGGACAAAGTATCACTCGAATGGAAATTCAAATTCATCGACACAGTGAATTTTGTCTCATTCATTTTTGAGGCAACTAAATTTGACTTGACGTACAAAGATTTCATGTTTACTCGAATTCAGTTCCCAGTATGGCCTGAGGTCAGCAAATTCTTGGAACATTTTCAGAGGCCATCTTAATTCATTATCCTAACTTGTCCTCATCTGAACATCAGGAGACTTTATGAAGCCAAGTAGACACTTAAATCACTAGATAAAACTTCAAATAAATGTTGAAATTGTCACTCTTTATCTCCAGTTGAGATTGAGTTATGTTCAAAAGGATTTAGGACTTAAACCAGGCCTGCACAAGGTATTTAGTGACTCGAAATGCCCAGCCCAACCCAGACAAGGTTTGAGCTTCATTTCCAATAAGTTAATAATGATTTCATGCATACTACTAAACTGAATTTCATGGCTCTCAGATCCTATGAAGAATATTAATTGAACATTATATTAACAGACCATAATCTAATAAACACATTGCAGTCATATATTATTTGAGAAATTTCTGGGTTAGGTCTGTATCATTTTTCTGAAGAATGACGCTCCCATAAACGTGGATGAAGTTCCTTCCCCTAAACTGAAAGCTCACAAGAACATGCATGTAAGCAGGAAAAGTAAAAGAAAAACTAAAATTGCTAACGTATAAATAACAGTCAATCGACTCCCTGTTTCCCTTTTAAGACATATAGAAGAACAGAATTTCCTGAAACCAGTTGATGAGTGAGAACATTAATGTATAATATTTCAGTCTTCACTATTTATTTACTATGATGAAATAAAAGATGAAAGTAAGTTGAACTTACAGATTGAGGTTTCCCGAGAGTTGCTTCGTGCTTGTATGCTGAGCCAGTTTTTCTTGGTGAGTCAGTTTTTCCACCTGTTTTTTTCTCATTCCTAGCTTTGTTGAAGATCACAGTGAAACCCTCAGCTGAAGCTGGATCATTGACATCCCATTCACCAAACTTTGGCAAGGGCCTATCGTGCTCCTGTAAAAAAATGCAAAACATGAGATCCTTGCAAACAGAAACTCGCAAGTTGGAACGAAAAAGTAAGAAGGATAATAAGCTACATGACAGGACCGTGCAACCAAATACACAAACGTCAAACAGGTTTTGCAATTTATCCAAAAACATACACATAGTTTACAGTTATGATTGTGGGAACTAATTTTCTTATAGTGAAACTCTATACACAGAAAACAAACCTACCAGAGAAACTCAAAATTTTAGCACCTAGAAAACAGGCAAGCTGGAAAGTTGACTCTTACTTTAACCCTTAGATGTTTTACTCAGTGAAAACACTAATAATGAAAAACCCATGGAAGCAAGTTCCACTGTTTAGTTTCTCTATATCAAAAGAGATGCATAAGTCTGAGCAACAGCCACAACAAAACAATTATTTGTATGGTATAATATTATCCTCTCCAGCAAAATAGCGGATATTTAAAGCAAGACTATTTTGTATCACTTTACAAAAGAAGAGCTAAATTCCAACATGGAACAAACTCTTATTTTGCCAGTCTAAATAAAGTAAGAAAAAAAATGGCTGCCAAGGAATCAATATCAATAAAAATCTCCAATCATCTCCAATTATCAGCGACATGCCACAACCGAGTCAGCTCAAGCCACTTAAATAGAGTGAAAAGAAATTTGTTACCCAAAGTAATTTCACAGAAACAGACATTTGGGAGAGGATAATAACTCAATCTAACTGGCTAAATTTCAAGATTTCAACAAAAAAAATGTCCTCTGAAACCAAATGTACTGGCTCATAATCTTCGTAAACCCACAACTATGCCACAACATGAAAAACTTGACTCTTAATAAATGCAATAACCATCACACGTACAGGAAAATTTCTCCATGTCATTCATGTTTTATTGATCTACATCAACTTTAGGTCATTAAGGAGCTAAAATTGCCTGAAATGCACATAATGGGCAGGCATGGTCCGAAAGGCAAAAAAACAGAACAGTAAGAATAATTTCAATTCTCCACGCAAAACAATTCATTAAAAACAGGATCGGGATCGCAGGGGAATTGTTTCATAAAATTTCCAGAAAAAAAGAATTCTTAAGAATCAAACCCTTATCCACGATAAATATAATGATCCAATAAATAAACAAACACTGGCCGAGCATAATAATCGATCAACTTACGTTCCGTTTGGAAAAATTAGGGAAAACCTATCCAAACACTACAATCAAATTTAGTCTCATAACGCAAAATGAAACCCAAATAAATAAAAACCGTAAGGAATATCTCATTACCTAGTGATTACAACTAGGAATAAAAAAAGAAAAAAAAAAAAGGCAAGAAAAGAGAGAATTGGTATCCATACCGCCATTGTTATAGATTTGGAGCGCGAGAGAACGAATCGTTTCCCCTGGATTTTTCGATAAATCAAAAATATTTCTATATTATTTCGTTTGGCGTGTTTTTCTCCCCCCTCGAAATTAAGTGAAATTAATTGGGAGAGGGAAAAGGAAAAGAAGGAATGGGAAATAAAGCAGCCTGGAAGCATAAAAAAGTGGGGCCGTTGAGAGATAACAGCTAGCATTAGCAAAGCACGCTTGGCCTGGGCGGGTCGGGCCTGTCCGTTAAAGTTAGACGGCGTACACGTGCGGCTCTGAACGTGGATTTTGCCCCCTACTTCTGTAATCACGGGCGCTAACCTTGAATTTCTTTTTTGTCCGTGTTTATATATATAATGATGTCTGGTCGCGCAATGCGCGACCCTGGCCCAATTTATCTGTAGATCTTAGAAATGTTTATATTTGAAAAAAATAAAATTTTGTATTTGGAGCGATATATTTTAGAAATGTTTTATAAGTGTGATCATAGAAATATTTGTATTTCGCAAAAAAAAAAAAAATTGTATTTCGCCATGTATGTTTTAGAAATGTTTTATAAGTGTTACTTATTAAATATAAATAGCTTAATCGAATATATGTGTTGAAGTAAATGTTAGATAAAATATAAAAGCATCCTAATAAATTTAAATATTAGTAAGATGATTTATTGATGTTCTCCATTGGTCGTGCCAAATCAATACTTAGTTTTGGAGATTTTTAATAGCTTTGTAATAAGCTTCATCCGAAGGGTATACGCTTAAAACAAAATTGACACTTTATAACAAAAAACCTAATTGATCAATTCAATTTAAAAAACTACTCTAGATGAATGAAACATAAAGAAAAAATTAAAAAAAAAAAACGTGTCACGTAAAGTGCAAAGGGAGATTTAGTTATGGTTAGACAAAAGGGCAATTTAGTATTTTCTACATGACACGTGGCAATCATATGAGGTGTTTGAAATGGAGGTTTTTGTTTCTAATAGTTGAATGAAACATAAAGAAAAAAAAAAAAAAACATGTCACGTAAAGTGCAAAGGGAGATTTAGTAATTTAGTTATGGTTAGACAAAAGGGCAATTTAGTATTTTCTACATGCCACGTGGCAATCATATGAGGTGTTTGAAAGGGAGGTTTTTGTTTCTATATATATATATATATATATATATATATATATATATATATATATATATATATACTATTGCGCGACCCTGGCCCAGTATATCTGTAGATTTTAGAAATGTTTGTATTTGAAAAAAAAATATTTTGTATTTGGCCCGATATATTTTAGAAATATTTGAAAAATTTAGAAATGTTTTATAAGCGTGATCATAGAAATGTTTGTACTTGGCAAAAAAAAGAAAGTGTATTTGGCCCGGTACGTTTTAGAAATATTTGAATATTTTAGAAATTTTTTATAAGTGTTACTTATTAAATATAAATAAACTTGATCAAGTATATCTCTTGAAGTAAATGTTAGACAAAATATAAAAGCATCCTAATAAATTTAAATATTAGTAAGATTATTTATTGATGTTCTCCATTTATTGTGCCAAATCAATACCTGGTTTTGGAGATTTATAATAGCTTTGTAGTAAGCTTCCTCCGAAGGGTATACGTTTAATTGTTGGAACTGTTTCTTCCAAAGGCTTATAGCTAGTAAAATATCAAAAATATGATTTTAAAACTGATTAATTGTTGAAACTGGTTGATCACAAATATGAGAATGAAAATTGATGTAAATTTGCATAGGTTTCAAGTTATAGTAAAAAAGAACTCACATCACCATGGCAAATAAAAAAAAAAATAAGTAAAAGAGTCCATTAAAAATTGAGAAATTTTTTTTTCCTGTAGGTAAAAATGATGTATAAAAACACAAATAAACGTAGAAACAGCATTCCTTCCTTCTCCACGTCAAATTCATAAAAGGCTTCCCCATAAATTAGTTAGAAGAAGCGACCTGAACTATTTATATGATGAGTTATTTAAAAAAGTCCAAAAACCAAATCCAAAAAAGTATATCCTTGAAAGTCCGAACACAAAAAAAAACGCGCTTCATTTGCAATAATAATAATAATAATAATAATAATAATAATAATAACAATAATAATTGGTCAACTGGGAATATGAAACAAAATCAAAAGCAATTAAACAAAGAAAAAATACAATTCATAACTGACCATATACGAAAAAAACTGAGGCTCCTTAATTAAAAAAAGGAAAACCACTCTAAATGAATAAAACATAAAAGAGAAATTTAAAAAACCACACTTTGTGACGAAAACCCAATTGATCAATTCAATTCAAACAAAACTAAAATCATACAAAAATTCTAAGAAGACTAACCATATAAGAAATCACATCATATTACCTGGCAACGGCTACGGTAGCTGTAACGGGTGGACGCATAAAAATAATATAAATAACACTATTCTTGAACGGGAAAAACAAAAAATAATAAAAGCCGTACAAATGATCTGTGGATATAAAATCATTTAAATTTTAATATTTGTAACGGCACACCACAACGGCCGAAAGCAACATCAATGAGAATTTTTTTTTTTCCTTTGTGTTTATATAAAGAGGTAAAGAGAATATTTTTTGAAGTCGAAATTTTATCCGATTAGGATGTAGTTGATCATCACTAATGAAAAGATTGAACATGCTAATAGGAAAGAAGTATATTTCACCACGTATTCTCAATTGATGATTGACGAGAAATTTGTTTTTTTTTTTTATTGTGGAGAAGGAATTGATTAGGGAGTCGATTGTCGTGGAGATGGAGTTGAGGATTTGTGTTTTTTATGAAGTCGTGTTCTTTTTTTTTTTGTTTTGGCGAAAATAGGAGGTGGTGGTGGATTTGGACTGCATTTGCCTTTTAAGTCTAGGAAACTGATGTGTAAATAAAAATTTATTTAAAAAATATGATGTGGAAATGCCACATGGCAAATGGTGGTGCTTTATTTTAAGTGTGGTTTTTGTTTCTGAAAAATATGATGTGGAAATACCACATGGTAAATGGTGGTGCTTTATTTTAACTGTGGTTTTTGTTTCTAATATGGTAAGATATATATATCTATATATATATATATATATACTACTCCTTCCATTCCAAAATAAGTGTCGTTTTAGCAAAATGAAGAAATTCTAAAATAAGTGTCGTTCTCACATTTCAATGCACTTTTTTTCAAAAGTTTTCAAAATTATCCTCAAAAGAGTTGATGCTCTTGGTGGACAATTTTATAATGGGGTTGGTTGAGGATATTCAAGTAATTTTATTACCCTATTTAAGAGTTTCTTCAACTATGTGCAAAGTGTAGGATGACACTTATTTTGGAATGGAGGGAGTAGCTCGTATGCACCGCACGAGGTGCGGTGTTTGGGAAAATTTACCCAGTTTTATATAGTACTGGGAAATTTATTGAAAAACACCTATTTTGTTACTTTTGTTGCTCTTTCCATCACCAAGTGTGTGTAAACCAAAACTTAAACCCATTTCAAATAAGGTGATGTTTCTTTTTTTCCAATTATATTCCTACTGGTGATGTAGTGCTGTATTATGCATGAAGGGGAGTTTAGAATTGACTTAAAATTCAAAAAATATAGAGTGTACGTAAACTACTCATGACAAACTTATATTAATTTGAAAGAAGCATACATGTGAGGATTAGATTAAAATAAAACTAAGTTCAAAAGTATATATGTATTCTAATAAGAACAAAATACACGTTGAACAACATTTTCTTCATAACTGTGACGATATGGTTTCATCATTGAGAAAGTTCCAAATTTCCAACCCTCATTCAGAAGTTAGTATCTCATTGTTCTGCTAGTCTTTGAGATGATCAAGTCGCTTTGGAGCAAACCCGGAAGCCACTTTTAGTTGTTGTTGCTTCTTTTTCTTTTATCTTTCTTGCATGCCATCAGAACAAATGGTTACCAAGCGAATTATGCCCAAAAAAAAAAAAATGAAAAGAGATGATCCATCAAACAAATTAACACGCTGCATGGATTAAAACGCTGCAGAAGCTCATCGCGTAGCATTTCACCAAATTTATAACACCTTTCTTACACGTATTGTGGAAAGCATACATGCATATAAATTAGAAAAGTGACTGATGAAAGTGCACATGCATAGTGAGACTATTACAGTTGAGCTTCCAACATGCAGCTACTAATCTAGGCATTTGATCTTTCTTGATAACACAATTTCTTATCTAAAATTCTGAAAGCAAAGTTCAAGGAATCTTAAAAGCTACGGATGATAAGTACAAAGCAAGACCTGCAAGATTATATCAGCTTAAGAAGTACCCAACTTCCAATCAGAGATTCGATAAACAGAAGATTCCAAAGTTAAAATTTGTGTTTAAAATTAGTGACTAAGCACATGTTATGCACTCTTCACGCTGCATAAGGAACTGGATTCATAAGCTCAGATTTTCAATATTCCCTCTCCGGGACTTCTTATTTCTGCAAAGGTCTCGACCATCATCCGTAAAGGAAGAGGCATGACTCTGTAAAGACTACCAACATCTCCGACAAAAAATCTAGACATTTGTTCATCATTTTTTGGTGCTAGATATAAGACTCAGATACGCATGATCAAGATTAATGGTTAGAAGAAAGAAGAAGTATGAATCCAATGTAGAAATAAAGTCATTTAAGCTTATCTGAACAGAGTGCTACAGCTAAAAAACCAAACTAAATGATGAGTTCCTAAACCTCTATGTGTTCCTAAGTGCTGCTCAAAAAGCCTTCATGCAATAAGCCTTATAACAAATAAAAAAACAGAAAAGCAAACTACATCTATATAATCCCAATTCCTATAAATTGATCGATAGTTTCAATTTGTTTTCAAAACCATGACCATGTTTTATGTGTAACATTTACACAATAAGCTTCCACAAACATTAAAGAAAGGAAACAGAGGTTTTAAATCACCAGGAGTTTTTAAACCAACAACACCGTCAAATTACTTGCTCTCGGTTCCATCTA